TATACTGTTTTCATTTGAAGTTAAGGCTGTGGAGAAAGATTGTTTGAAAAATTAATTTTAATTTCCATATTACCAAAATAGAGCAATCTTGCAGACATGTGAAATTATGCTTTCTTGCAGATAGTAGTAACTTCTCTACTTTTGCTTTGGCATTTGATTATTGTTGTTATAATGGTTGATCTTAGTGATTTTGTTCATTCTTCGGCTCTAAACATCTTTTGTCAGATCTAAGCCTTTCCTTAGCTATACAGGTGTAAATGGGTGTTACTGAGTGCAAGTGGGTACTTGTTTAATTCAGCCCTTTCCTAATGTTAATCCTAACATTGATGTCGGGTCCGTTCTACATCTTAGTGTAAAAAACTGATAGATGATGGAAACACTTCTATTGTAAGAAATGTATGTGACAAAATACCCAGGTTTGCCAAGGGCAAATTAAGGCTGACGTAGCTGCTCTTGGCAGTTTTCTTAATTACAGTTGTCAGCTAACTTTCTTGGCTAACAGCACAGAATTTGCGTGTTTCTAAGTAGACTCGGTGTTCATTCAACTTAAAAAGCTAAGATGGCTTTTTGTCCGTGAAAGGTGTGTCTGTACCTCGTTGTTGTTTCATGGATCCGCTATAGATCGTGAAAATTAGATGATAGCATCTGTAAAATATGTAGAGACCCTTGAAAATACTCATTGTCCTTTAAGCCAGAATTCCATCACAGTCTTGGCAGGTCTGTAGGAAAAAAAAAAAGGTGTTTTTCTTCTCATTCATTCAAGTTCAAAACAATAAAAATTCCAAGTTTCTTCTTCTGATACCAAAGTAAGGCTGTTACTACTACAAACATGTTTTCTAATATGTCATTAATTTACCTATTAGTAAGAACCTATCAAGGTAAAAGAATAAAACTTTATAAAAGTGTATCGTACAGATCTTTTACTTATTAGATGAAATAGTTCCTAATAATTATAACCATTGCCTGTATTCTTCAGAGAGAGACTTAGATCCTGATACATTTGTAGTCATGTGTCAGGAATGACAGCACCAAGATTTAATTGATAGAAAGAAAGAGGCTTTTTTTTTTTCAGTGTCCAAACTGGCCAAGAAAACTGTTCATACCTTTGCAGTGCATTTTCTGCAAAGAGGAGTTAACCTTCTTTTCCTGATTATTGTAGACAAGGCCTTAAAAGACCTGGTTCCTCAGAGGGCTGCACATTTGATATGGTACTATGCGGTATTAACAGAGTTCTCCTTGTCGGTATTTAAAGGGTTCTCATTGTTAGGAAATGAATAAATGGAGAGAATAAGCACCAAGAGCTAAATTAGTATTCAAGGAATATTATGAGGGCTACAATAAAAGTAGCTAATGTTTCCAAGTGAAAACTGAGGTTTGGGTCTTCACAAATGATTTTATATGGTGACAGTACCAACAGAATATAACTGGAATTAATTCTTAGAAAATATTCAAATAATTATTGGAGGAAACTGCAATTTAAATTATTACATTAGTATAAGATTGTATTCTAATACTTTACACAAATGTCAATATGAAAAATAACACTAGTGTCCCAAATGTCTTTTTTTTTTCTTTTTTTTTCCCCCAAAAAAATTCCTGGCCTACCAGTACACATGCTTGCTGACATCTGTATGCCATTTTCATTTGACTAGGTTATTAAATCTTTTGACTTTGAAGCCCATTTGAGAAGAGTACCATTAAAAGGCTCCACATTTATTACTCTGCTGTATTTACTACTTAGAAAGATAGAAATGTCTTTGTTTATTTCTCAATCTGTCCCTTTCCCTCCTGCCTTTTTTTCCTCTTTTATTGTAGCGGCAGCCCCTTGTGCAGTCAGCCATGGTAGGGACCGCCTCTCACCCACCTCGTTCTGCCTGTCACCACGTCCTGGGGTGATGTGACTGTCCTCCTCCTCTTCTGCCATGCAGCATTAAATGCTTCCTCTCCTCCACTAGTCCTTTCACCCATGCCAAGATCCCCAGTCAAGGGTAGCATGAGCACATCTGTATCGTTGTTGTTACTGTCTTTTCATCTCTGAAACAGGTCAGTCGGCCTGTCAACATCTTAAACGTCCTCTGGAGGATGGCCATAGCTGAATGCAAGAGGGCAGATGTTGATGGCTGCTGCAGCCATTTGTATGAGTTCTAGGCAGCTGCAGTTGTGACTGTGGGCTAGCGAAAAGAGGGTCCACATGTCTGCAACACATTTTCCTTCCCTTTCTTAATTTTTATCACAGTAGGATAATTCTCATTGAAGATATGTTCCCTAAAACCATGTAGCTGAAGTGTTTCAGAATTACTGTGCTGAATATAACATGAAGAAGAGAAACACCAACTTAACCAAGTGTAGAGCCTCACAAACCTGGCCAACTAGTGTCTCAGCTGTAGCTCCCAGTGCTTTCTCCTTACCTTGCATCAGTTATTCATGCCTTTGCTGTTCCAGCTTGCAGAGTTCAGCTTGTCTCCCTTCATCATCCTCCTGGATGCTGGCAAAATGCTATTGCCCAGTACACTGCTGCGGTAGCAGTTGCTGTCCCAGATGTGATGCTCTTGGGGCCACCAGGAGAAAGGAATGAGTGGAGCCACCGTTAACCAAATAAGAGTGCATGGCATACATGGCTGGCTTCAAAACAGACAACTACAGAGAGCATTTACAGTGAAAATCACTGCAGGGTGGTTTTCCCTTTTTTCTTTCACATACTGTTTTTTGCAGACCTACAGCCTGACTCATTCCCTTTTATAAGGCTTCTCGCCACGTGGGTCTCCCAGAGCCGAAAAAGCTGCTGTAGTTTAATTCCAAGTTGAAATGCGCTGTGCAGAGGAGGTGACATTTCAAAGCTGAGATCTGAATGCTTGATTTGCTAAATAGGCATTCATTAAAACGCTCTGCAGCAGTGAACAGGGTTGAACTGTGGTGTTACATCGCACTGCTCAGTACTCAGCCTTGCTAGATACAGGGATTTTTACTTGCTCTCCCAGACTGTTATTAGTCTGACTTCTTTTATGTCAAATGAGGCAAAATAGAGGATTTCACACTTCCTTTGAGCTAGAAGGTATCTATCTGTATAGCTTTATATACCTGTGTGTATGTGTGTAAATATATGTACATACACTGCACAAAAATGTATTCATCCACAGTAACAGGTGGTGCTGGCAACACCTGTTGCTGGGGTCACTCAACACTCCAGTATTAAAACCCTAATTTTAGTTGCTTATAACTTTTGTCAAACTTAAACATTTGGGTTGCAATGTTATGTGCCAGGTGTCTGCCTTAGGCTGATTTGGGGAGGGGGGTGGGGAGAGGAATTTATCAGCAAAACTGTTACTGCCAGTTCAGGGAGCAGAGGCCAAGGGCGCTGGTTTGCCTGTGCTGAAAAATGAATCATTGCTGGTTGAGATGTTCCAGCAGCTTCCCTCGTCCAAAGGCAAAACTTGCCAGTGGAGACCCCCTACAGCTGGGCATGTCTTTTGCCACCATTATGGAAATTCAACGTTTTACTGAGAATGGTAGAAGTTTGTTGACAGCTGCCTACCAGGCTGCCTGCATCATGTCCGCTTCCAAACAGCAGTGCTGCACTGGTGACCCTTCGGATGCAAGACGCCCGTGAAACAGCAGAGTAAGCCTTGGAGTCTGAGCATGGAGCAAAGCAGGCTGCTGCATGCAGGGGCACCGGTCCTCAGAGCAAATGTAAGCAGCTCAGCTTGTGCTTACACAGCATGAATAAATAGGAGGGAATAGCTGGCTGGAATCCAGAGGAACTGGTGATTGTAGGAAGGGAACGATGGGCTGAGAGTGGTAAGAGTGAAGGACACAGGGTTTTAAGAACTGTATGAGGAGAAATGCTGAGGAGACAGACTGGTGTGATAGGGCAGATAGACTGGGAAAGGAGTCTCACAGGGGTCTGGAGAACAAATCTTATGAGGAGCGGCTGAGGGAGCTGGGGTTGTTTAGCCTGGAGAAAAGGAGGCTGAGGGGAGACCTCATCGTTCTCTACAACTACCTGAAAGGAGGTTGTAGCGAGGTGGGTGTCGGTCTCTTCTCCCAAGTAACTAGCGATAGGAGAAGAGGAAATGACCTCAAGTTGCACCAGGGGAGGTTTAGATTGGACATGAGGAAAAATGTCTTCACCGAAAGAGTGGTTAAACATTGGAACAGGCTGCCCAGGGAAGTGGTTGAGTCCCCATCCCTGGAGGTATTTAAAAGACGTGTAGATGAGGTGCTTAGGGACATGGTTTAGTGGGCATGGTGGTGTTGGGTTGATGGTTGGACTTGATGATCTTGGAGGTCTCTTCCAACCTTAATGATTCTATGATGCTATGATTCCTGCCAGTCCATGACTGCAAGATTTCTGTAGTCCCTGCCTAACCAGCCGAAACGTTCCACTGATAATACATCGCAGCTCCTCGAACGGGTGATTTACACAGGAATACAACCTATGGCTCCCCCTATTCGAGTGTACAAACTTGAACCTACTAATAAACACTTAGGAGTTTGCGTGGTTTCATCTGATGCTGTTTCAGGAGGCAGAATTGTCAATTTACTTCTGCTTAATAGAAACATCAATGTTTTCATTCTTTTTTCTCTTTTTTAGTATTTCTTAGCTTTTGCATACGCAACCTGCACTTGAAGGATTATTATGTGTGCATGCGAATCCCTTTGTAAATACTACAGTTGTTTCTTACTGTATAATCTTGCTTTGGAATCCATACTACATTTGTAGCTCACAGTATGCAAAATCACACTAGTAAGTCAGTCATAGATACAAAAGTGGTCTGTGGTTTCATCTAGGTTGCAAAAACATTGGAACAGACTGCTCATATTATTTTTAAATGTTGTCCTTTCTTGATTGTTGGGGGAATTAGAAACAAACTGCCTGTTTCAAAATATTCTGTTTCATATTACTTAGCGTTTTCCCATAAAAATCTGAAGAAATGCCACAGAACCTGATCAAAGTTTAAAGTCAGTTTGTTATTGAATGATGATGATTTTTTTTATTATAGGTAAAGCCTCAGCCAAGAAACTGACAAAAAAGGTAAGCAAAATGTTCCTTTCCTTCTTCAAAAGAACTTGCATTCTTTCTGTTACTCAACTGAATAGACTTCTCTTTCAAAACTGGCTTTATATTTTCTTGTTTGTGTCTTTAAAGGAGGTAGATGCTGCACTGCTGTGTGTTGCCAAAGCTAAACCAGGACCGACCTTTTTTAGAGAGCTTGGTGATAAAGGTAATGAGCACTTTTGATACTGAAAAATACATCTTGCTTTTTATCTCATAATATGGTATGAACTGAATGTATTTTTAAAGAAGGTTTAATGGATTTGACTTCATCCCCATCTAGCCAGTAGCTGCCTTCTTGGCAAATCTCTCAGTTATGCAAGAGAGAGTAAAGAGACAGGGCTGGGAATTGAAAGGCTTCTGAGGTGCAGGAGGAGACGGGAAAGAAATTGGAAAGCCTACTTGGAGAAGAGAAGGGGGCTAAAGGGATGGCTTCAGCACAAAATGGACTTTTAAGACTTGTTAATAAGCTGCTGTTTCACTATATAACTTATGCACGGAAACTAAGAATAAAAATAAAATTTGTATCTAGTTATGTAAAGTGGCATCCCTGATTCCAAAAGCAGTTGAACTTATTTCTTTCTCTTCAGCAGCTCAGTGGCCCTTCATAGCACCAGTGTGCTTCAGTTTCTTTTCACCCAGCATTTCCACCTTATATCGGGTTCATAAAGAGAAAACTGAGACCGGGGATATTGTTTGTATAACAATGGGGAATTAAAGAACACCAAATAAACACCTCATTAGCATAAATCAATTGAAAGGAGAAAACAAACGAGGATCAAGGAAACCAAATAGATGAGTAATTAACCATTTCACCAGTTACAAAGACTGAAATCCCCAAACCAATGAGAAAGGCTGACAGCATCTATTCACAAACTTTCTGTATGGTAGGGTTCTGCCTGACTCCCTTATCCCGTGGACATTTCTGGAAAATAAAGCTGCCTTTGCACTGCTGCAGTTCCTTGGTAGGCATGAGCCACGCTCTCTCCATGCGCAGCAAATCCCCAGGCATGGCTGGCAGCTTGTGCAAGAGAGCAGCCCTCGATCTCAGCCTGCAGCGTTTCTCCTGCCCTTTGGCCTCATGGCCTCTTCTGTGTGCCGTTCATTTCTTGCATCCTTGTGCAGATGTGGAGGGGTCTTCAGCTGGGTGCCTTGCTTGTCAGTCCACTCCTGCGAGCCCCAGCATACCCCAGCAGCCCTGAAACATCTCTGAACAAGCTGAACAATTTTTTCCTATCCTAGGGAAGTCTGGATTTTGTATTGAATAGTTATTCCCTGCCTTTTCAAATTACTAATCATCATGTGCTTTCCCAGGATTGGGTGTAAAGGATTCCCAGTCTTTAATTCTTGGATATTCTTTCTCTATCCCTGCTTTTTTAGAGCCTTTCTTTTTCTGGTGGTTGACACTGCAAATCCCCAAAGCACTCTGCCTGGGAAAACCGGGAATCCACCAATAGGGAGTGAAAACATAGCAAATCAGCGCAGCCTCCTTTTACTGCACCTCTCCCAGCGGACTGCTTGGCAGAAAGTGGCTTGGTGGTATGCTCAGCCTGGCGTCTTCTGCATTCTAGACAAGGCATTGATCTCCCCTTGCTTAGGACTATGTGTCCCTATGCTCTGTCCTTTAAAGGTCAGGTAGGAGTTTGAGATGATGCAGGAACATTCAGGGCAGTCATCCGTACGTCTCCACAACACACGGAGTTTTTACAGTTTTTGGTCATGATGCTTCTTTAATGACTTTGATGCTTTTGCTTTGAGAACATTATTATTACATGTAAAATGTAAATATTTGTGTATTAAATACTGCTTTTGCAGGTACCAGAATAATGAATCTACACCTGTTCCATTCTTTAGTTGAGATTATTTTAACTACCTTCAAATTGTTATTTAAATATCAAGTAGAGGAAAAACTGTCATCAGTCCAGTTTGTAAAATGTAACGCTAGCGAATTCTGCCTTCTAGTGGGCAGTTTTAAAATTCATGTCATGTTTTGTAGGTATACTTATGATTTATTCAGCAATAAGAATATTGTACTGTCAGCATTTGCTATAAAGTTTGAGGGTAGAGATTTCCAGGGAGGGATAGGGAAGGCTCATTTAGTGTTAGAAAATGACAGTATTTTGCCAATGCTAACTGCAAATACTTGGCTGCAAGTAAGCTGAGTCATTCAACAGTATGTGAAGCTTTTATCTTCTAAAATTTGCTTGGACGTGAATGTAATTTTCTATGTTTTTCGGGGGTTTTTTTAGATTTGTTGCGTTGCATCTTTTAATTTGAGTAACTTTGTAATGATTACTGTAGAATAAAAAGAAAATTACCAAAATATTTAATTTACTTTATGAATAAGGTAAATTGGCCTTTCACTACAAGTAGTAAAAGGACAATAAAATTAAAAGAAGTATTTTTATGGAAATAAGTCCACAAGTTAAAAAAAATCTTATCTCAATTTAATTTAGTATAATTAGCCTGCCAGAAAATGTCAGACAGGCTGTGGATTTGCTTTAAGGCTCTGAGACAGATTTTAAAATACAATCAAGAATTTTTTTTTTTACATATCTTTATTATCTTTACCTTTTTACCTATTTCACTATAGTCACTTTTCAATCAGCTTACGATAAGATGATGAAAACAGAGTCTGTCTCTTGCCCCTGCCATTTCTTGCAAGGCTTTTCTTTCCAGCCCTCTGCAGTTCAAGGGAATAGAGCCATCATGCTTCTCCCTTGAGCAGCTCCTCCTAATAAGCAGCGTGTTGTCTCTAAATTGGTCTTTTCTTTACACCCTACCTTTTATAAGGTACAATGTTCCCTGTCTGCCCATATAGCTAAAACTCTCCAAGTGCTCAGCATTTTGTATCTCAATTATTACAACTTTTTTTTTCTCTGACTTTAACAAACATGACCTGCCATGTTAATATCCTTTCAAATGCTTTGATAAAGTTGTTTTTCTTACAAGACTCCTTTGAGTGTGTCATCTCTTCTTTTGTATCCCAACACTGGACTCTCCTTGTTCTATCTAGCAGAAGCTGCTTGTCTTCACCTTGCAGGTCTTCCCTGGACTATCCCTATGCAGCAGATCTCCAGACAGCTGAGAGGCAGACTCCCACTTCTCCTTGGCCAGTGATGCTGGCCTTCATCACTTGCTGGTTAAATTTTCAGGCAGGGATCTTTGTGCTGATACCATTGCAGTCCACAACTGGGAGGTGTTTTCTATATAGAGTTGAAAAGTTACCTCCTTGTCTTTCTTTATATTCTTCCTTTAAACATTCTTTTGCTGTGACACACAGAAAACAAAATTAGGGAGCAGGAATCTTGATCGTTGCCCATCACGCTATTTGCTTGATTGCTTTTTCTCCCCTATTTGTTTCTATCCGTTTTCTTATCTTGTCTTAGGTGTATAAGCTAAAAAAATGGGATAGGAGTTCTTTCTCTGTTTGTTTGGTTTCAAGTTTGTAGAAATCCCAGACACTTTGTCTAGGAACACGATTCCAAGTTTTACAGCAATGCAAATAATAATTTACATTCCTGCAATGGCAGTAACCCTAAAACTTGTAAGCAAACTAAATCTTTGAGATGAAAGTATTTTTTATTTCCACGGTGTATTCTATGACTGTAGTACTGTGCTGATTTACACATCATGCATGCTGGATAATAGGGTGAATAGCCCTATTTTGATGGAGAGGAAAACTGAGATATGGAACCAGAGTGAGCTGGCAACAGGATCAGCGTTAGACCTGTCTTTAGCTAAGACTTGCTCTTGGATTTTCAGACTCTTACATTCAGCAATTGAATATTTCTAAACTCTGGTACTTAAAACTTAGTGTTAAGTCACTATCTGAGGTCAAATACAAATGCTGTTGGCTCTGCATAGTAATTTATCAGAAGTTAATTGTTTATCATGAAGCTTAAGTGGATTCCTTATCAATCAATTAACTAAATATAAATTATAAAAAATAGTTTATCTTTGCACAGATAGGCATGTTTGAACTTCATTATTTTAAACAGCTTCAGCATTATACAATGTTTAGGTCACAAGTTAAAAGTAGCTCAGTTATTTTGAAAAGTGATTTATAAAAAAGCCCTTTACATTTTTTTTCTCCAAACATTATTGCAGGGCAGATGGTTCAGATTCTGTTGTTCAACCACCCTCGTTGTGCGCTCTCTATCTTTAGCTCGTACGCTCTATTTTGACGCTATCACATCTTTGTGTTTGTTCAGGCTTTTCACTTAAGGCAGCATTTCAAAGGAAAACACTGGAATTTTCCTTCAAAAGGGGGGAAAATACTTTCACCTTGTAGAAAGGACATGTTCCTATTTTAAAAAAAAATAGAAGCCTCCTCTTGGCACGCGGCCCAGCAGTACTATCAGCACAATCTAGCAGCTTGGCAGCTTTGCATGTTGCCATGTTCCCCTTGAGAATTAGAGGGAAGCTGTTCTCCGCCTTCACGAGCCTGCCAGAGGATGGAGGACTTTGATCCTTCAGGGTAACATTAGAGTAGTTCTCCTCCCAGGTACTAAATGTGACAAAGCGCATTTAATTTATTTGCGTTTTATATAAACATTGAATGTTTTCAGTGAGAATCCAAAGATTTAGTGTAGGTCTTTTATTATTAATAAAATAAACCTTACTTCTTGATTAGACATGAACATTGATGAGTCTCTGGATAGGGAATTTTACCTTCAGAGCACTAAAAACAGAAGTAAAAACTTTATTAAATAATAATGTGGCTTACTTTAATAACCTATTTAATACAATGTTAAACTACGTTTTTTATATTTATAAGATTCGATCTTTCAAGTCTTGCTATAATTGTATTTTCTTTTTGCAAGTAATTTTTTAACTCTCTTATTTCAGGGTTGATATCTTATGCAGAGTACCTATTTTTGCTGACAATCCTTACGAGTAAGTATTATATATTTAAAATATATATGCATAAATACTCAGCTACTAACAGCTTTCCGGGAACTTTTCCTGATATTTTTTAACTTCTAAATTTCTGCATTATGGTAAAATGTAAAGAACTATTGTATATAGAGTGATAAAGCATTAATATAAATGGATATAGCTTTAATTGGCTGCAACTTACTTCCATAGTGTCATCATTGGTCCATAGCAGTACTTCAAAAATCATGATAATCCCTGCACCATGGGATCAGTAAAGTCTTTCAAGAGACTTTGAGAGAGGGGAGACATTGGTTACAGGCCCACATAATAAGGGGAGGAACAGTGGGGGAAGATAAATAATTCGTCTTCTGGGTAGTAGTTATAGGCATTTTGGACAATGACACTTTAACATTATAGCTTATGCAGTGGTGTAAAAAGCTGTTGTGGTGTCTGAAAGGTTGTTGCCTATTACTCATGTGTTCAGAGATGCAATGGATGATACACATAAACAGGAGACTTCTGCAGTGTTCTTTTGTTTGACTTTTTAATCCTTTTTTTTTTTCCCCTCTGTTCCTTTTGACTTTATTTCCTCCAAGTACTTTGCATGTATTTCTGCTCCTTCCTTTGCCTCCTTCCTTTTTCTCTATCAGACACTTTTTAAAAAAACTTTTTTCCTTGGTACTTGCTGTATCTGCAAACAGCAGGCATTTTTTGATTGTGTGTGGAAGTGATCTTGGATTTTCTGGGTTTCCTCACCCATACTTACTCTTTGCCGTGCTTGCCACCTCCCTATGCTGTTCTGATGAAGTGTAGGTGATGCTGGAAAATACCGAGATTTGAGGTAAGATGTGCGCAATGAGCATTACGCAGTGAGACCCATAGACTAGTGGTGAAGTAGTCCACATGCAGTCTTGTTTGACTGACTTATACAGGTCTAACATTTTAAGCAAGGGACAAAACCAGGCGTACTAGATCTCATGGTATCAGTGGATGGGGAAAGGTGAGAAAGAAGCAGTCGCTCTTATCCCAATGGGCTGCAGATGCTTGAGCCTCATCACTTCCATGGCTGCAAGGTCCATGGCAAGGGCTTAAACAAATGGACAAATTTTCCTTGCTCTAGAAATCCACTCTGTCACGATGTAGTAAGAACAAGTAGTGTTGGTCTCCAGAGTCCAGTCTTCACAGACAATGACTGTCGGTACACACCTCTCACACAGTTTAAGGTAGGCCTCTTACAGCTTACATCATTTCTCAGCAGAACTGCATTGGTTTCTACTAGGAACTTCAACTAGTACACAATATTACTTAGTGTATATAAATTAATATAACCTATTTACCATACAAATGTACTGTTTCACCAGTAGTGACTGTCCAGTGCTACACACAACTTTAACATGAGTTATATCATGTGCTCAAGTGCTTTTTAAAATCAGAAATAATGTCTAGCCCAGTTAGAAAGTTGATCTAAAAATATTTGTTGTAACTCAAAGAAGAGGGATTTAAAAAAAAAAAAAACACAACCACATTATAACTTCAGAAGAATACCTTAGTTAAAGTTGCAGAAATAGGTGCCAAAGATTCTATTTCCTTAAAAATCTGTGGCAACTGAAAGTAAATTCGTGCTGATTTATTGGCTGAAACAATTAGAAAATTGAAGCAGTATCAGAGCAAGTTGTTCCACTTCTCCAGACAATCAAGTAACATTATTTTTTACAGAATTTATATAGGAATGTATTGAGCTGCAAAAACAAAGACATCTTTTGATGCAGGATAAAAATGCAGTGCTAATGTCCCTGCTTTGGTTACACAGAGGGTTATCATACTGATGAGTTTGAAAGCAAATGTCAACAAGTGTTAGTGCCTCTGTCGTTGCCTAACAAGTATCCCATGTCAGTCAGCCCCCAGTTACACAACCTGTCTCTCTCGCTAGTGAGAATTAATGTGAAATTTCTTAAAGCAGCCATTAATGTTTAAATGACTTCTTCTAAGTCACCAACAGAGCAATGGGGAAACAGGAAAAGAGTCACCAGGTTTCCAGAGTCCTGGTTCGAGGACACTGCTGACCAGACAATGCTGCCTGTCATACAAAAGCACCATCCATAACAACACTGAACTTGAAAATGTAATTTTGCGGCAGACAAAGGCTTTATTTTGCCCCCTGTGATCCCTTTTTCTCTTTTCTGTGTGCCTTTTATCATTGTTATCTTTTTTCTTCCAGTGCTGTACTGAATTTCATTTCCAGCAACTGGTTAATGGAGCTTCTGGTGAAGGAGCCCAGGAACTGAAATTGTCACCTTGAGTCAAAGCTTCATTTCAGTTAGCCAGTCACACAAGTTGACAGCTTGGTCAACGTAGGAATGGTTGCAGGGCAAGCACCAAAGTCTAACCTGTGCTCACAGCTAAGATGAAGCTCTTCTGTTCACATTTTGGAATTTTGCCTGATTCTAATTAAATACAAATATATCTGAGGTAGTCTTTGAACTACACTTATTTTACGAACACATACCTTTGGGGTTACATCATATCAGATAAGTATGTCATCTCTGAACAGTGTAAGCAGCTTTAGGTCCTATATTTTCAGTAACAGCTCTCTTATCTGAAAATTGCAATACAGATGGTATGAATTACTATTAAATACATCAATTACTTTTATTTGCTAAATATGTTATAGGATAGGCTCTTGTTGCTTTTTGTACTAGTAACGCAAATTTAGTGTGTGGCATTTCCATGGAAAGGAAGCCAGTTTTGATTATTACAACCCAGTGGCTGGGGAAGGGCTCTGCTATGCAGATTGCAACAGTATTTATAAAATATCCCTGCATCACAAGGTTGCTCCACAGAGAATGTTAGTTGGCTGCTGAAGAGGTAGTTATTTCTAAAATGTAAAAATAGTACTTTCTTTAACCATCTTGTTATCACTTAAAAGGAACGGGATATTTCTTTAACTTGTTCCTTTGCAGAAAGATTCTCTAAAAAAAAAAAAGCAAGACTTAAAACTTTACAGGATGGAGCTGGAAAAATATATTTTCAAAAGAAAAACTCTGAAGACATTAGAGTTTTTTAGAGATACTGCTTCACTGCCCTCATGAGTCCAACATTGTTCTTGGAAACATGAATATATTCTAGAGACGATAAGTCCGTGGCTTTCATGTTAATGCCTGGCTTGACTGGGTTGTGGAATTAATTCACCTGCTCCAGAGATTATTGGGATAAGTGCTTGCTACTGCAGTGAACTGTAACTACATTTCAGTGGCATGCTGCTCCTGTGTGGGCTTGCTAATGAGCAAGGCAAAGCAAGCAAAGTAAGATCAGGAAATTGTGGGAAGGAGCTCAAAACACACTGTTTTTATAGCACCTGCAAGGCTCCGAACTCATTACATTTTTTGTGTTGAAAAGAAACATCCACTCGGTGAGAGAAATGCAGGGTAAAATTGCATAAAATTCCTGAAAAAATCAGCTTGATGGGAGTCATACAAAACATGCTTTTGTCCAGAAAGGCCAGAAAGAGTGATTTATTACTTCAGTAACATTTGAGTACATGGTTTAGGGAGGGAGGAGAAGTGAAGAGAAAAAAGGCCTGGGGCTAACACAGTGGGAGCAGGAGCTGAGAGAGCTGGCCGCGATTACAAGATCAGTCTGTTTGCTAGGGAAGACTAGGGTAGACTGCAAATACTGGCATACGGTAATGCATGCAAGAAGTACCTGAGGAGTACACTAGCTCTTTCACGCAGTTTGGGAATAATTATTGGTTTCTCAAGGCACTTTCCAGTCTTCTCACCTGAAAAGGAGCTCCAATAAACAAGGTAGAGCTAGACTTCAGAAGTGACATGGGATTATGGAGACATCTGTAGAGAATATCTAAGACCAGGACAGTAAGACATACAACATTTTCACAGTCATTGGGATCAAATGGACATTCGTGGCTGTACTGCTGGCATTTCTTGCTTTGCCATTGCATTAATTATCCTTTGAAATGGTAGTAAAAAGGTGTTTAAAAAGTTTGCTTGTATTGGAAGAGGTACATATGGTTTACTGGAAACATCATGTACATGCATAACAATGGAGAACTGAACCATAGGCAATATTCCTTTTGCATTAAATATTTAAGTACTAATGTCTGTGTGTGTGTGTGTTTACAATAAAGTTCTTTTGTGATTTGTTGCAGAACCGCAGACTGGATTTCAGATTGCCTTTAAAATGTTGGATACAGATGGCAATGAACAAGTTGAAAAGAAAGAATTCTTTAAGGTGTGTGTATTTCTATGCATATTAATTTTAAAGCATTTAAATAGTTCCATGAGTTATATTTGCTAAATGAAGATTCATTAAAATCTTCAAGCCTATTTTTCTAGTCCAATCTATGATCGCATACTTACTAAAATACTTTATATGAAAGGAGCACATACCAAAGCATTGCTGTAGAAGTACTTCTTATATTTGAATCCACTTTTATAAATGTTACCTTTGACTTGTATCTAAAAATCTGTTACTGGGAAGGTAAGAGTTGGTGTACATCCCTTAATCCCGTGAGCTAATTTAAATAATCATCTGGAAGAGTCTTTTATTTTCTAAATATTTTGAATATTTTTTTAAATTCACCATCCTCTCTTGGTTTTTATTAATTTTGTTTGCTCTTGCACAGGTTTTTTACCAATTCACACTTTGGAGAGTAACAGCGGTTCTTCCCATATTTTATATAAGATATGGGGGAGAAAGGCAGATGCTTAAAAAACAAAGAAAATCTTGCTCTGATATTTTAAAGAATAGGCTTAATTATATAGCTTATTCAACTTCTACTTAAAAGTAGGAGACTGTTAACTAAATACTTCTTGTCAAAAGTCAAATACAAAGTTAACAAGCATAGTTTTTAATAGACTCCCTCAGATTAATTCAGATCCTTCATTCATATTGGAGGTGACTAGAGAGACAATTTTATAAGAAGCTGAAATGGCTACTACAACACAAATTCTTTTCTGTCACTAGGATAAAAGATTGTTATGCAACAACTCTAGAGAACCATAGAATCTAAAGCTTATAAAGATGTACCTGTTGATAGAGAAATTACCAAAAATTTACTTACGTGTACTTTCATAGCCTTAAACTCTGAATAAATGATACAATAGCAGTTAGCATATGTTTTGCACTGATAGCCATTTTTTCAGTGAATTGTCTCTTAGCAAGATTACAATTGATGAGTAGTACTTAAATATATTTTAAAATATTTTTTAAATACTTTTTGACTTAGTAGTACTATTTGAAAATAATACTTGAAATTAGACCATTTCCCAAGACAGTGTTCCCAGAAGCCCCTAACTGAGCCTGCAGATACCCTGCTCTCATTTGTTGCTACACAAAATCTTTTAAGCTTGAAGAATTTGCTCTGTTAAAATGTTAATTATTCTGCTGGTTATAAAGAAATCAAATTCTAACTACAACCTTTAATTTTAACCTACAAAACCTGGTACAATCCTAGTGAACTGTTATCAGATTAGTAGTGCCCTGATCACCGAAATATGTCTGTTGTGGCTGTATCGTTCATCTACAAAACACTTGTGTTCATGGTAATAATTTCCCCTGTAACATACTGAACGTGTTCAGCCTGTAGTGCCGCTGCACCAAAATGCCATGTTAGCAGTACTTCCTTTAAACAGGTACTGTGTCAGTTAAGCAAATAAGGAGATTCTTGCAGATACACAGCACAACTCTCTTTGGGAGATGTACAGTATGTCATATATTTAACATCCGTTACCCATTTCAGGTAATTCTAATTGAATCAGCCAGTATGAACAACAGAAAGTCATCAAAAGTAGAGGTGAAAATGTTATACAAATCATTAAAAATAATTTGATTCCTGTAGAGGCAATCAAATTAAATGAAAATTATTCTAGTTAGATTGTTACTTTGCATTTCCTTTATGGGCTGTATTGATAAATTAATATAGTGGTAAAATAAACCCATATAAATTGCAGTGTCAACTCACAAGAATCATTAAATTCAAAGAAGTCCTACAGGATGCAAGCTAGTCAAAAGATGAGTTTTCTCACATGACTGTTTACTTAACATTTATAAGCGGTGACTATTTTAAAGCAAAACTTGATTTTTATAGGTTAGGTTTAAAAATAAAACTTTTGGAATGTAAGAATCTGGAAAAATGTGTGTGCATTAATCTCTGTATACTCTAGTTCTGTATTCATCATAGAAAGCTTCTGTATATCTAATAAATCAGTAAATTGTGTGGCTAATCTGTCACGTGTCTTGTCCCACTTGGCATCTCAGGAAAATATGTCTGAACTATTCTAT